CTCCCGCATGACGTGATCGTTCTGTGTGCTGGGTGGCATTTTCTCATTCACCTTTGCGTTCACGTCAATTTTTAGTGTTCATAAGGTTGAGCAAAGCTTTAATATGATGGTCATGAAGATTGACAAGCTAAAAATCCTGCTATTCCTTGTTTTTTCGTGGTTTATACTCTTCACCCTTCACTTTTTTCCCACAGGTCTTACTGTTCATCCTACTTATTACCTTTATTTTATATTCGCTAGTAGACTCTTATTCCCGAAGTCGTTATCGTGTCGGTTTTTTCTTCCTTCGTATCTTAGCATTCATATCACATCAAATAAATCCTCGTTGGAAATGAACTGGGGTTGTTTCAAGTTCAGTGTGGATCACCCACGACGATGTTTTGTTTTAGTTGAACTTTAGGCTTCCTTTAGTGCTAACTGTGAGGCTATTTTCTATAGCTTTTTTGTAGAAACCTTAATAATGTCTGGTTACTCTTCTGCCTAGAAACAGATAATCGAAAAAGTCCTCATGATTTAACATAAATATGAACGAAGTTCAGAAACATCGACTAATCGTATGATTCGCTGTCGTTCTGGAAGAATCCCGACGGCAAGGCAGTAACCTTGTCTGTGATTAACAAAGGATAACTGGAAATTCCATGTGGTAACAGCGTAGGAACGCTATAGCACGGCTATTTTCGATTTCGAGGGGATGCTACAGTCGGCTAGCACTTAACACTTCAATGAGCAGGGAAATCTGGAGATTATCAAGTTGTGGCCGAGTGGACACCCGACTTCAACTGCTGCGATGGATGACGATATCAGAACAGCAGAACGAAAATGAGAAGTGCTCAAACCTGCACAGTCGACTAGCACTTAACATTTTAAAGAGTACCTAAATTTGCAGTTCATCAATTTGTGGCCGAATGGCCGATTTTGATAAAGCCTGTGGAAAGATTGGTCTTCAACTAAATCTCACAAAAACGGTCTTCATGAGCAACGGATTGGTTCCGTATGTCCCATTCATGTTCAACGGAACGAATATCTCCGAATAGCTCCAGTTACATCTATCTAGGTCTAAAAATCAACGTTATGAACGACTTAGCTCCAGAGTTGAGCAAAAGGAAACGGGCTGCTTGGGGAGCTCTCAAGAGCATCGAGGATATAGTGAGGAAAACAAAGAACACCCGATTCCGTGCCCATCTTTTCGATTCAACGATAGTTCCTGCGTTAACGCATATGTTAGAAACATGATCGCTGCGTAAACAGGATGAAAAATTACTCAGCGTTATTGAACACGCATTCGAAAGGACGATGCTAGGAATATCCCGTGTCACGCAAGCAAAGGAAGGGATCCTTAGCTCCGATCGGCGTCAACGATCAAAAAACAAAGATGCCGTTCTGTACGCCAAACAGTCGAAGATAAGGTGGGCGGGCCGGAGACGTGATGCGTATGTATGACAACCGATGGACAAGAGTCGTTAGTGACTGGATTCCTCGGGATGTCAAACGCACTGCGGAAAACCACCGACCCGATGGTCAGAGTTCTTCACGGAAAACCTGGAAGAAAGATATGATGCTCAACGAGTCCATAGAGCGAGCCAAACCCTAAAGATTTACTGGCGCCCGCTCGAGTCACTTGACGATCAATGGGACTACAGTTGATACTCTAGAAGGTCTTCACGATGATTATCCTCTCGCACATATCGAGGACATCAGATGGGGCGATACCAGTGAAGTAGGCAGGATTTCGATAAAGATATTGCTACATGGACCACATCCAAACTGTGTCCAGGTTCATTAAAGTTGGTCCGGAATACGACCTGCCTCTAGCCCTAACCTTTGTCGACTGTGAAGAAGCATTTTACAGTGTTGAAACCAATGCAATTACATTAGTGCCCGTCGACCAAGGAATAGACCCCTTCCTACATAAGAAATCTGTCTTATTTTTACCAGAACTGCACTACGAAAATACGGCCTCTTAACGTACCCATAGGAGAAAGGGTTGGACTGGGCTACACGATATCACTAAAACTATTTTGTGCCGCACTGCAGTGGTTAATGAAGTCACTCGATTGAAATGAGAAAGGCATACGTATTGACGAAGATTTTATCAAAGCTTCGTTTCGCCGACTACATCACAATCTTCTCAAGAAGTACTAGCGAAGCAGAGGTGATGATCAACGAGCTCGACGAAGCGGCGAAAAAGATAGGACTTCGCACAAATCGAAAGAAGACCCACTTCATGAAAAACCCATGGTGCGAAGGCGTAAAAATTGAATTGGATGGCTCTCTCATTGCAGAGACCACCTCGTACGTTTACCTTGGGCGATCAATGAACATGGAAAACAACACTAAGGAGGAACTAGATAGAAGAAGGAGAGCAGTTTGGGCCGCATTCGGGCCTCGCAAAGAAGCCACCGACCAACTGAGGGACCCGAAAAACCGCGCTCATCTCTTTGATTCTACGCTCCTCCCAGCGCTCTGTTATGTTGCCGAGACGTTGGTTGATACTTCAACTACGTCGAGAATGCTCCGAACTACCCACAGAGCGCTTGAGCGATGTCTTCTGAAATATAACCGACACTCTCAGTATCTAGCCGGAATGCGAAGCTCTGACCTTCGAAATCTGTCACATCTTCGAGATCCAGGAAAGTATACATCGACAGCTAAACATAAATGGGCCGGTCACACGATGAGAAGAACAGACGGCAGATGGGCGAAAAGAACAGTAGAGTGGACTCCAAGAGAATGCGAACGTCCCCTAGGACGGCCACCTACACGTTGGGCGGACGTGTTCGTAAACAAAGTTAATCAGCTGTACCGGCAGCTGCAGTTGTTTTACAGATCACGGTATGAGACTCGCAAGCGCTACCATGCTCGAACAAGACCACCACCATGGACTACTATTGCGAGAGAAAGGAACGAATGGCATATGTGCTGGGGTTTGCACAGCTCGTGAAGACGGACTGTCCAAGTGTCCAAGTAAGTATGGGTTAATATATTTGATGGGATTTCTCGTCTACTTTGCTGTTCCCAGCATTTCTTGCATTCGATCCGTTTCCTCGTATTGACTATCTGCGAAGCTCTTATAGCTTTTGCGTGTTGGTTTAGTTCCACTAGAGAATTCTTGGTCTTGTTAATGAATGTCGCTGAATGATGGCTTAGTCGATTCTCTCTGGTGTCCTGAGTCGGCCTGGCTAGAGTGTTCCCACTTGGATCGCAGAGAGTGAAGTGTTCTCAGAAAAGTCTGTCACCAATACTCTGACCCCCGAAAGGATAGGAAGTTTTGCGATCTTTGGCTTTTTGATGGTAACGTGATTTTAATTTTTCTATCGAAGAACTATGGAAGATTTGTTGCAGTGTTGCAGTTTTAATATCCTTCCCTTGCTTTGGCTTAATGTTTTTTCAGTGCATCATTCATATTAAGAAATTGATCCTTTTATAATGTTGATATCATACATTTCTCTTTTCATTTCGACCAATGGTCAGTGTATCTCTCAATTTGGAGCGAATGAAGTCTTCGAATAGAAGACGTTGTAACAGATGACGAGACTTCTGTCGCTGCTCTCAACGACATTGTCTAGGATTTAGTGAAATCTCTGATTTTGAATTTCGCGAATCCGCAAATCAACATTAATAACCTGGATCTTTTGTCTTGGATGGAGAACGCTAATGTATGGACTTCGAATTAAGTCATTTTCACTGCACAGAACTTTTGCTTTAATTTCAACGACGATAAAATCAAACCGTTTTATGTCGATCAATACCAACAGAATAGTAGAAGTGATACATGAGTACTGCATATGTTGTACTGACATTAATAAAATACTACATAGTCTTCGTTCTTAAGGATTGAACTAAGTATGGATGTTGTTGGTTTAATACTGGACTCTGTATGAAACTATGCAACATTGATCACCAACATATATCAACAACAACCGCCCTATATAAAAGAGCTTCGCTGGTAAGTTCGGCTCATTCGAGATGCTCAACTGGGCAAGATCCGGTTCGATGCGAGACGAACACGTCACATCGAGATAACAACTGTGGACCACCGACAAGGATCGTCGGCTCTGATGAAGACGAAGACGTCGAAACGTTAGCCGAATAAACATCTCATATCAACCTAATATAAGCTCAACAATATAAACAAACATGGGACATTGAGCTCTTACAAGTATCTCTTTTTAAGGCCATTATAAATAGATGTACAGCTAGTAAGACAAATTACCTGTGAAGAAAGTAGATTATTTCTCAGACAATCTCAAACTGACCTAGAAATAAGCTAGCATTTGAAATAACAAGTAGAACAGTACAGCAATGTTAAATACAATTTATGTTCGAAACGGACCACCTAGATAGGAAGTGACCATTGCATTTTGTGAAGCCATGTTTTCTAAGCCTCACCTCAAGCGCTTTTGAATTCAGAATGGTCATTTATATAGCACGAGTTCTTTTTATTTCCAACAATATTAAACCACTCCTAAAAGCGTTCTATTCTCAACTAAACTGGTAGGAATAGAACCGATTAAGCACTGTGTTCTAAGTTATTTTATCACAGTACGCAAAGGTTTTTCCTTCATTCTTTTGACAAAATACGCCGTTCGATCATAACATTTGTTCACTTTCGACGCTATTCGATTCCTCGTCGATGAATATCGGTTGCTGAAGGAATTGTGCGCTTTCCATGAACGCGAGTGTCACAGTAGGACTATAGTCGTCCCCGTCGGTTCCGTCATCCTCGCTGTAGGTGTGATGTGTTTCGCTACAATTTTCGTCTTCCTCCACAATCACACCTACACCTTGTGGCATTGAGAACCGGACTCGATAAATCGCATCCTCTTTCAGAATCGCTCGCAGACTATGTCTGAAATGCAACTCATTTTTATGGAATGGAAAGCGCAGTGGTTAGAGATGCCGTGCAATAATACATGCATCGTCCCTGTTGGTTCGTTCATTGCCAACAAAGCCTCACATCGATACGGAATCGGCCAGCTGCTTCCTTAGATTTACAAATACTAGCAACGACCTCTAGTGAATACTCTGGAACGCCGTAATACGGCTATCCAGTGAGTCTGAAGAGAATATACTCCACAAGCATTCAAATAGCTTTATGAGGCAAATTCAAGTGGTGGTCGAAACTTCAAGCAAAATTTGAGACTTTCGTGAATGCAAGGCAATGAATTGAATAATAAATTACTGAGATTTACCCAATATTTGTAGTAAAATCATGTGATGAAAAGACTTCCGGATCGATATGATTCAGTTTACGTAGGATAAAATAATCTAACGACTCATTTGTGGCGGTTGAACAGCCCTGCGTGTCGAAATACAATGCACTAAGCGTTCCGTTACCCTGCAGGTTTGTACAGTCTAGTGAGCTCGACGTTTCCTATGTAGGTGTAAACCTGTGCTACGGCATCCTACTCTTGGCCCTCATACTATGAAAACCACTAGGAATAAAAGGTCTCGGTAGTGCTCTTTGTTTTCTCAAGTGGGTAGACCCATTAGAAAGCAATCGACAAAACGAATGAGGGTATCATGGTGTCTTAGTTCACAGTTGACACAGCTTTTATGCAATAGATGTAAAATTCTTTCTATTCATTATAATGTACTAAAGATCCGACATATTACATCGCCCTTGACCGGTTATTCGACGAATCACTGGGTTAGCTGCTGTCATGGGAAATACTGTCGCCCTGGAAAAAACATGAGTTTCCAGAAATTATTATGTAAGGCCCGCATAGAATATGTCGATATGGAAGTCAACAGTTCCTGAAGTACCACCCGGATCCACACCCGAACCCAGTCACATCTAACGATTACGTGATAATAAAAAAAACGAACAAATGCTGAATCAATATGTGAATCCGATAACTTAAGCATCTAAGTAAGTAATTAAGTAATGCACAAAATACTGACGCCATCAATAAAGTGTAAATTAAATAAATACTTAATGATACTTTAGTGTTCTAACATGTCTTTTTCTGACATAGAGAGTGAAACAACAGCTGAATGAAAGAGAGTAGTTAGCGAGTCACTTACGGCCGTATATCATAGTTTCGACTATCGATTTCAGAATTCTCCATCTCCAGTTTACTGTAGGCCACGGCTCGTCTGATACTGTTTGTCATTTTTCCTAATGTAGAGTCGTTATGAAATTCTTTCGAACGCCTGCAATATGAATGTTTGGTTTTGGACTCTAATGAAATTTCTACATTGTACTGGTGATTTAAACTAAGAATTTAATTTAAGGGCTCGTTTAGCGCAGGGATTGGAGGCGCCCTGTAATACATTAGAACTCGATCCTGCGCCCCATGGTCACCAAGGCTTCCGTCGTTCCAGGTTCATTAAATAGGCACGAAACCTGTCTGGGAGGATAGCAGCACTGGCTCGATATATCAGTGTATGGGTTTGAGTCAATGTTTAGGCGAGATATGCAATCGACCACCTCTAACGATGTTTAATGAAGTCGGATGCATCGTGCATCCCACAGGGATTGATCAAGGCCGAGAGCTTTTCCTTTTTTCCCTTTTACTGCTAGTTCAAACTTGACGTCACGAAATTGTTTTGTCGGCAAAGAGTGCAGAACTTCAAGACTTTATTTGTCACATGTACAGCTTATCTAGCTATCAAACTTTACTAGTTACAGCTACAGTTCTTGTTTTGGAAATAGCTTGCTTAGAAAGTGTATGGGGTTGAGGTCACTTACGAATGCATCCATTTGGCGAGAATATGGAAAAGGTGTGATCGAAACGTAGTGCTCAACGTAACCATTAATGGAAACGGTAACGAATAAGCAAAACCATAAAGAACCAACTGAAATAGTGCCTATACATATGGATGAAAAAGAACTACACTGTTGAACACGATAAACACTTGGCTTTCGGATTCAGATAGTGAGATAGAAGGAATTTCATTAGAGATTGTTTTTTCAGTCCGAATCCACTTTATCTTTGAATAAAGATGATGACGCGGATGACTGACTCATTTATGGAAAACCATGCCAAGTTATTAATTGATTCAAGATTTCAGGAACACGACTGTAGATTACCTTTGTCGTGTCGTCAATAGAACATCTTCTAATGGCACAGAACGTGTTCGGTTTATGAATCACTGACTGTGAAATGATCAACGCCAGTAGAATCGGTCGAAGATTTGCAAGCAATGGTGCATGCTTTGTCGCATATGGTGAACCGAATTGTGGTAGCAGACATCTTTCGGAAACGATGAAACACACACAGCACAGCACAGCTATCCTGCAACAGCCACATATCACGTTTAAAATGGTAAAACTATGGATAAAATCCGTCATAGAAACATTGATTGTTTGGTGTTTGAATGTCTGAGTGACAGGTCTTCGCGAATCACGATCAGCCTATCGGCACAATTCCAATTTAACTGGTATTTTATTAATTGAGCAGAATTTTCTTTCCATGATTCTCGAGAACCAAAATGGAGATTTTCGAAGCATTCACCAATTGGCTAATAGTTATGTCAAAGGATAAAAGATAAAGTGTTCGGCGTTGATCAGTCTCATGCAGATGTGTTGTCATGCATTCGGCTCCATTCAGTATCGCAGAGTTAATACAAGGCTTGGCCGACACGGTAATTTTCGGGAGCTTATCGATATACCAACAGAGTGCGTTTGATCCTACCGGACAACTCTGGTACCCCTTTATAGACCCCGGAGAGATGACAGCCATGATGAGGCTGAGGCAAGGGATCGAACCAAGGAGCTCGTGTGTATTACACGGTGCATTCCTCACTCCGTTGGATGATTTATCTAAGTTACGTTAGTAAATAGCAGTAATAGTGACATTAGCAACAGTAGATATTGATGGTAATGGACAATAATAGTATAGTTGATTTATGCTTATGGGAAGCATTACTATTTCTTTATCGCAGTTTGGATTAGTGTACATGCGATTAGGAGTTTTTCCAATTTATAGTTGAAGTAACACCTTCATTTAAGTTTGGAGCAATGCTGTATTAATTATTATTTAAGGTATAGAGCGAAGTAATAGGAATGCCGATCAACACGAACGTGGTTCTGGCTTCATCACGCCCCTGCCTCACCAAGCCTTTAATACTCTAGGAGTTGGGAAATTGGTGCCAGACCTGTTTGGGAAGACTTCATTTCCTACAATCCATGTAGGGACGCTCCGGCTCGGCTACCTGAGGACTGTATGGAGAATCGAAGCAGCACTAAACGACATTCATAACGAAAAGGAAACCCTCAAGCAGCAGCTGAACTCGCAACAAAAAGTTCGAAGACCTTCGTTGATGATGTATGTCAGGAAACGAAACGTGCGTAAAAAGTGTTGGGATGACACAGTAGATGCGAAAGACAGTTCCTTGAAAACATGGTATATGAGTCTAAGGCTTAGCCATTCCATTCATAATGGATATTTTTCTCCTCCAGCTGTAGAGTTTTATTTGCACTACAAAAATTCACAGTCGTTAGAAGTATTATAAGAGTAAATAACAACAAAAACGCTTAAAATTCCCAATGAAGTATATGTTTTGTATTTAGCGGTGGAAAAGACGAAGAAAATCAGTAAGTAAAAAATACCAGTAAACTGCTGACGGTGTGAATCGTATCACCTCCATTTTAATATGGTCCTGTCGAGCTGTCTCAGAAAGTTTGGCACGTCCAATTGCATGTGGGCTTTTACTAAAAGAAATAATTCTAAATTATAGTCATTACGTTTGATCCTTAGAAAATCAAATAAGACTAACGTAGATATTGTTTTTTTGAGGCTCCTATTTTCTTGGAATTTTACTTACTTGGATGGTCCGTCTTCAACGGTTGGGCGGGCCACAGCATAACTTCCATTCTTCGGAGATTTGCTGCCTTAGCCATTGTGGTTTCCTAGAATCCCTAGGTCAGCCTGGTAAAGTCTGCCCCAAGTCTTCACCATCACAGGCAGTCGCAGCTCTTCTGGATCAGAGGGAGATTTGCCACCATGCGACCAGTTTGACACCAGGACGGTGGTCGATCTTGATATTGGTTCACTCTTAGCTGTACTTGCTGATGGAAACGTCAGGCTACTCTTCTTAGTTCTGGCGATCCTGCTGTGGGATGAATCCCTCTGCTGTACATCGCAGCCCGGTATCTAGGAACACTTCCCAGCCACGATGAGATGGTAAACCGTTGGAAGGAATTTATACAATTACCAACAATTAAGAGTTTCCAGAATTACCCGTATGCATGAAGAGTTATATGAAGTGTAATTCACTTTGTCTCTCTAAACGTTGTGTTCCTTTTATGGTGAATTCTGCTCCATGAAGTGTTGGTGCGGCTGCTGCTATGGCATTACCGTACACAGACTAATGTTTGGCACCTCGCATATTGGTTTCTTCCAAGACGTTCAGGGTTCGCTTTGAAATTATCTGAGTCTCTCTATGAAAACGTCGAACCGGTTTTCAAATCTTTCCTACTAGTAGTTGAACTTTCCTTTATGCATCAAATATTGACACCTGGTAATACATCAATCTCAATGAGGTGGTAAAGCGCTTGCAGATACAACCACAATGACACTGAAATATTTGCAGAACTTGTACACCAGGCCAGATCCGAATCCGCAATTACACTTTCCGACGGCTCACGTGTTACCCACTGCACCAGCGAGGCCCTTGCTTTACATTTCATCCAGCCAGTTTTCTTCCCTAGCGGCGCCACCCGTCAACAGTAGTGATCTAGAGATCACAAATCGGCATTTAACCCAGTTAATTTGTTGCAGGAGCAGATAGCACAGTGGTAGTGATACTCGTCATGACGAGGATGGTGCTAACTCGATTTTGCTCAGGCCAAACTAAGGCTCTCATCCCTGCGGGACGGGAAATTGGTACCGAACTTCTGTGAAAAAGATCACCCTTTGCAATCCAATTAGGAACGCTCCAGCCCGGCTATCTCAGGACTCCGGGAGGAATTGCTCGACCAGCATTCTACAACATTCAGGATGAATTGAAAATCCTCAAGCAGCAACCGAAGCCACACGTAAAATTGGTAGATCATCGTAGACAATGGATGCTAGGAAACGAATCGAATGTCGAAAGTGCTGGGATCCGCACAGTAGACTTGGAAATGAGTCAAATAAAAATAATAATAAATAAAACAAGTTGTTGCAGCAGTCGAAACTGCTGTAGTCTGCCACCACTAGGGTATAAAACTGAGTGCGAGAAAGACAAACCAAGGCCTTCAGTGGTGCAGTGGGTAACAAGTGAGCTCCTGGAAAGAGTCGTCGCAGGTTCGAATCTGGCTTATGGTCCAAGTTTTATAAATGTCTGTGCATCATTGTGGTCTTATTTTACGTGATGCCCTGCCGCGAAAAACTAATGGGCAATACATGAAAGGTTAAACATTTATGGTTATCTGGATTTCGCATGGTTACAGTTTTGAGAATATTCTTAAGGTCGTGTAGACTCTTAATAACTATCTCGTTGAGAAATGAGACGAAAAGGTTGAAATAATTAAAAAAGAAAATTAGATGATACATCTTGTAATAGTTCCCAGGATCGACTTTCTATTAACCTCGGCATTGGAATATGAATGTGTCGTTTTCTTGTTCAGCAATCGCGAGGTTTTTAAACAGCATACATTTACTTCCATAGAAGAACACAATACAATACAACGCTAGCTGACGTTTCGGCAGTATCGCCTTCTTCAGAGCTTGGAAGGGTATGCTGATATACAATCTACTAGGCCAGACGCTTCAATAACACTTACAAAAAGACGAAAGACTCTTTGGTAATTACATGGTCAACAACTTCTCGAAAAACCCACCACTTTTTCGTGACTTCCAATGAGGAAGTTTAGAACAGCTGATTATAGTCGCATGTGGTTGACGACTGCACCATCCCACATCAAAAATCGATGCGAACGTACGGGATCAGGCCGCATATGACCTCTGGGCATTCATCCCTGCTATTCATTGTAGGGTTTTTGGCATTTATCCAAAAAACCTCAAGAAGGTTTCGCACTGGTGCTTAAGCCTCCTGTGCAAGGATATTGACTTTTACTTCAAAATCGTCTCCGCTATGCTTTTGTATCCTATGCGTGCCTAGTGGGGTGCTTCGTCTTAGTTTTCGTTTGACATCTAGGTGTTCTTTTATACGGATACACAAAGGTCTGCCCGTTTCGCCAATATATTCATCTCCGCAATTGTTACACGAGATCAGGTATATCGTACCTGAACTCATGCAATCACCGCCCCTGCCGTAAGGGCAAATTACGCAATTTGTTGTTCCACACAGACGGTCAAACAGGCGGTTGCGAACTAATTGGCGACGTAGAGTAGCCGGTGGTATTTCAACTATCGCACCCGATTCCTCTAGACTTGCCCTTCTTAAGCATCGTTTCATAGCCGCGCTTACTTCATCGCTTATAAAAGGCGACATAAACGGGACTTTCTCTTGGCCAAGTGTTTCGCGTGGGCGCGTCGTTCTCCTTCTAAACTTATCTCGTGGGGTTGCTATTTCGTAGCCATTGGAGATGGCTATTTGCCGGGCCAAGTCGCGCGATTCTTCCTTTAGTTCCCTGGTAGTGCACACAGAGGTGGCTGTTCGAAACATGTTTCTCACAGTCCTCCTCTTTGTGTGTAAAGGGTGGGAAGAAAGGAAATTAACAACAATGTTCTTGTTACTTGGCTTTCGTTACCACTTTTTCAGGTAACTGCTTCTTGATAGGTTTATTTGAACGTTTAAAAACGGAACCCAGTTTTTTCTCGGTTTCTCCCGGGTAAACTTAATGTACTCGGACTGCTCGTTCAATAATTCAAAGCATTTGTCCATCTCCTCCGTAGAGAAGACAACAAAACAATCATCTACATATCTGCAGTATGGTAGTGGCCGGAGATCGACAAAAGGGGCTTCTATCTTAGACATAAACACAATGGCCAGGCTTGGTGCCAATCGCTGTCCCATTGCCAACCCCCTTATTTGCGCGAAATATTTCCCAGACCATCTGAAAATCGAGCAGTTTAGGCACTCCTTTAAGAGAGCCATTAGCTGCTGGATGGACAAGCCATGCATATTTATTCTTCCTTCATGTTCAACAAGAAGTTCCAAGATGGCTTGCATTGCGGAGTCATTCGACACGTTGGTGTACAGTGCGGTAACGACGAAAGACTCCATCACGTACGCGTTATTGGGAGACGCGTTGCGTAGACGTTCTAGGGACATTTGGGTGTTTATGAGGTGAGCTCTAATGTGGTTAAGCAACTGGGTAAGTATCAGGCTTAAAAACCAGGTTATTCTATCCGTTGGCTCGTCTACACAGCTGATGATCGGTCTAACTTGACGCATGATCATCAGGTGATACCAACTTATGCGTTTTAATGAGTAGGTATAGGACGGGACATGTTGGTTTATCGATTTTAAAGTGCGAAATAACCGATGATTTTAAACCCGCAGCCTTTGCCACGCTGACCCATTGATTGTTTAGTTTTCGGTATTGACTTTTATATTCCTTTTCAGAGGATGGGCGATAGAGGGTAGCATCACTAAGATGTTCCTCTGTTATCTCAGCATCCAGCCAGCGAGGGATAACTACGAACTCTCCCCTCTTATCGCTAACAGACAATCTTATTGTTTTCGAGTTTATTAATTCTCTAATTTCTCGCTTGCCACATTTTTGTGCGGCTGTAAGGTTAGAGATAAACTTTCTATCGCGGTAGTGATCAAGGGTCTTGAGAACGCCGTCCGAAAACACGCGGAATTTTGTGTCAACTCCATCGTTAAGGTCCTGCTGTCTAAAAAACGTTTTAGGGAAAAGAGATGGTGTAATGTTGCCGCCTCTTGATTTTTATCTCTATTTGATGTTTCTTGCTTGGCCTGATAGCGGAGTCGATCTTGAAGCTCATAAAGGTTGCATGCTATCCTACGCAGGGTCGTTTTAGAAATGGGCTGTGATGGTGCAAAACTTGGGCCCAATTCTAATAGCGAGCGCGCATTCTCAGGTATTGTTATGCCCCCAATCACGGTGACCCTAGATTTTCTTGGTGCATTATCAACCCCATTTTGACTATTATCAGAAACGTAAGGAATTCGTTTGCGGTTGTTTCTTGAAGCTGAGACGTGTGAATTACCCAAAAGATTTTCGAATTACCGTTGTAAGGTTATNGCCGCCTCTTGATTTTTATCTCTATTTGATGTTTCTTGCTTGGCCTGATAGCGGAGTCGATCTTGAAGCTCATAAAGGTTGCATGCTATCCTACGCAGGGTCGTTTTAAAAATGGGCTGTGATTGTGCAAAACTTGGGCTCAATTCTAATAGCGAGTGCGCATTCTCAGGTATTGTTATGCCTCCAATCACGGTGACCCTAGATTTTCTTGGTGCATTATCAACCCCATTTTGACTATTATCAGAAACGTAAGGAATTCGTTTGCGGTTGTTTCTTGAAGCTGAGACGTGTGAATTACCCAAAAGATTTTCGAATTACCGTTGTAAGGTTATTTTGGAATTAGATCTAATAAAATCGCATATCAATATTGACCCACCAACTATCCTCCTCCAAAGGCGATCCTCCAAATACAAATCACAAAAATGTTCCTTCGTTGCACACTTCTTCATTCTGGCAAACATCTCGTTCTGCTTGCTTCGTAGTGCATCTCGAAGTGGGTCCATTTCGATACCTCGTACTCGTTGGCTGCCCTCTGGTTGACCGCATATCTCGTGAAGTCGCTTTCGTTTTATAAACTTCGACGCGACTCGATGTTGAAAGCAGCGGCGGAGGAAGCTGATTTGCTGTCTAGCTAAGACAATCTTCTGTCTTAGTGACAATGCTTCCTTCACAAGTCGAAAGTATTTTGCTGGTACATCTTGCAATAGTTCCCAGGATCGACTTTCTATTAACCTCGGCATTGGAATATGAATGTGCCGTTTTCTTGTTCAGCAATCGCGAGGTTTTTAAACAGCATACATTTACTTCCATAAAAACACAATACAATACAACGCCAGCTGACGTTTCGGCAGAATCGCCTTCTTCAGAGCCTGGAAGGGTATACTGCTATACAATCTACTAGGCCAAACGCTTCAATGACACTTACAAAAAGACGAAGAACTCTCCGGTAATTACATGATCAACAGCTTCTCGATAAACCCACCGCTTTTTCGTGACTTCCAATGAGGAAGCTTAGATCAGCTGATTATAGTCGCATGTGGTTGACGACTGCACCATCCCACATCAAAAATCGATGCGAACATACGAGATCAGGTCGCGTATGACCTCCGGGCATTCGTCCATGCTATTCATTGTAGGGTTTTTGGCATTTATCCCAAAAGCCTCCTTTATCCTTCCAGGGCGATACTGCCGAAACGTCAGCTGGCGTTGTATTGTGTTTTTCCATGGAAGTAAATGTATGCTGTTTAAAAACCGCGCGATTGCTGAACAAGAAAACGACACAAAATTAGATGAATTGATGAAGGCTATCGCGGTTAATCATTCTACGGACATAGTTTGCTAAAATCGCTACCACTCACTTCCTAACTTTGAGTCGAAAATTTCAAAACTTGAAATTCCTGGATATTCCATCTAAGAATTACAATTCTTCCTTGGTAGATAATTGTTCTCTATTTGTCAATCAAAAGTTATTATCCTCCCAACGGTTTACCGCCTCATCGTAGCTGGGAGGTGGTTCCGGGTGCCAGACTGCGATATACAGCGGTGTGATTCGTCCCCTGGCATGGTCTCCGAAGCTGAGGAGTCCGGCCCTTCCATTAGAAAGCCTAACTAAGAGTAAACCAACACCATGATTCACTACCGTCCTGGTATCAAAGTCGCATAGTGGCAAATCTCTCTCTGATCCACAAAGCCTGCGACTGCCAGTCGTGGTGACCACCTGTGGCAGACTTTGGGAAGGCTGTCCTCAGGATTCCACGGAACCACAACGGCTTAACCAGCAAATCTCCCAAAAATGCTAATTATGATGGGGCCCGCACTAGTGAGGACAGGCCGCTCAAGTATCAGGAAATAGGATAAAGGCTGTTAAAACGAAGAAGTCGTAGTGTAACAAAGTCATGCGGCAGTAATTTGCAAGGAAAAACCTAGAAATTGTAAAACGGAATCGAGGCAATACTTCTAGCACCTCATCTTGACTAAGAGGTGTTCCACAGATGACAAGAGGTACAGCATAGCGTTCATCCGTCAGCAGAATTTCTCAAGCCGAGAAAGGATCTGACATATTTCTATCCGGAAACTCAGCTAAGAATGATGTAGTGTCAGGAATCACTGCAATCTTGCTACACGATTATTTTTTAGGGTTCGCGAAGGCTGTCCAGTCAGAAACGCAAACCAGTAAACTTCAACAAAGGCTAACTGCACCTAACTAAACATACCCAATCATACAGAAATCGTAGTCCAAATTGTATTCGAAGCAAAGTGGCATGTTGACAATCACACCGAACGGCAAAATCCAACAGATTTTCCGCCATGCTACCCAAGCCAACGAATTCCAACGACGAGAGCGCTGAACTAAGTCATTCGTGAACGTTTTTTTTTTCAAGGCGTACGAAATGTCTTTATTATCATTTACCAGAAAATATTGATTTATATTCGGATCTCAGGACGTTTTCTACGAGTTAGAACTCTCGATTTATAAGAATTTTCGTTTGAACGTGTGTACCTGACCACAAATGACTGTTAAGTAAATGTCATAAGCATACTCGTATAAATCTATTGATCATGAGCTTATTGAAGCTTGAACGGAAATTCCTTTAGTATTTTTAGTTTCCGATTGAATTACGTTAAAGAAAACTCGGATGTGATCAATGACATTTGAAGATAAAACGGAGAAATAGTAGTAACTTGTTCATCCAGTTTATTTCTTTAGCGCAATGTAACCTAAATTCCTGCAAAGGTCAACTTGTATGATTGTTGTTTTTATCTGGCATTACTATAATGCACTTCTTTTAGCCTACACATTATTAATCCTTTCCACATATAATTTAAATATATGCACTAAATCTTCGGTGCTTGTAGCGCAGTGGTTAGAATTGCCCTCCGATATTGACCGTTGGTTTGACATCATGATTTAAAGTAAGCTAAGTCCATAAACCTCCGGGATTGGCTAATCAATCACCAAACTTATCTAGAGATATTAAAAAGGCGTCGATATCATAGATAAGTACTCCCCAGGAAGTCGCTGCATAGATCAAATGTACATTCAACTGCCTCTACAATGCTTAATAGAGTCGAATGCATGACGCCTACTTAAGGGATTCAGTAACTCTGAAAGCTTTATCCTTCATGCCGTACACTAAGTCTCAGTAAAGAAAAAACTTCTGAAATAGCATTCCAGAGGAAAACCTACTCGGACGTAGTTGAGTAGTAGTTGAAGTCGAAAAGCAAAACACAGACATAATGATGTGACGGCAAAATGAAAGAGACCGATGACGACCGGAAGAAAGTTGGTGGTGACCCATGTTTGACCTCTTTGATAGTGTTTAGTAAGAATTTTCAACGGAAAGGGTACAATGAAGAATACGAACTGCACGATAGCGATGATCCGAATGTAGGTAAAACTGAAATTTTTTCATTTTTATTCTTGCCGTTCACTTCTTCGTTTTGTTTCGTTTTACTTTTGTTTGTTTTTTTTCTTGCTAACTACACGAAATATGAAGTGTATGAAATGTGGTGAAGGTTTTAAAGAGACGATAGGCAAGTTCTCTTTTTGAAACTAATACAGTCTGTTTTCATGACATTCAGTAGATAAAATTGTACTGTTAAGTCCTACAGAATTCACCAGAATTATCAATTCTATCAAACCGCTTACCTCGCAAAGTTCGCCACCTCGTCGTGTGTGGGAGGTGTTCTCTGGTATCTGTCTGCGATGTACAGCTGAAGGTTCATGTACCCGGCAGGGCCTCCCAAGTTAACAACGAGTCGCACACTTCTGTCCGGAAGTCCAGTCCAGAGTAAACCAATACCAATACCAGGAATCACCTGCTATTAAACTAGTCGCGTCGCAAACCTCCCTTTGATCCAAAAGGGAGGCGGCGGCTGCCTGATGTGGTGACGATTCTACTAGGGTGACCTCTGGAGTCCAGTGAACCGCAATGGCTAAGCCAGCAAATCTCTGGAAATCATGCCGGCGCCCGCACAACTAGTGTAGAGAGGCCATGGGAGTAAGAAAGTGTCAAAGCGCTTATGGATAAAGTCGGCATGACTTCTATCTACTTTTCCTTTAAGTCAAAACAAAATCATTTTTCGAAAACTACGTGTTCGTCAGGCTTGATAGTACTTCGTAACCAAGTAAGCTGCATAGCAGTTTGGAATGATTGCAGTAAGCGGAGCTATGTGAGTAGCTTTAGAATCCTATGAGTGGCTTTATTATTAACCTCTCATGTTATTTGGCCATATTCCTGCCGAGCCAACCTCTGATGTTACTTTGTTCTTTATCTACGGTAAGTTTCGGCGGATTTTCTAACTCGCCTTCTTCAGAGCCTGGAATGATCAAATTGATTGCAATCTACCCGATCTAGCACCTCCATAACCAAACAAAGAACATGGTAAAGCAAGGTTTCAATCGCATTGCAAAGCTTTTTGGCATTTTAGGGAAAGAAATGTGATGCTGATGACTTTTATAAGCGAATACTATAAGTCAGCTAGTTGTTAGTCAAAGTAATCGAGTTAGTTATTAGTCGTTGCTTCCCAACGGTTTACCCACCGCCTCACCGTGGCTGGGAGTTGTTCCTGTGTATTGGGCTGCGATGTACAGTGGGAGTATTCATCACCCTGGCAAAGTCTCCCAAACTGAGAAGGAGTCCGGCGTTTCCACCAGGAAGCTCAGCTAAGAAAAAACCAATACCAGAATCCACTATCGTCCTGGCATCAAAGTCGCATGGTGGTAAATCTCCTCCTGAACCACAATGGCGACGACTACCTGTGGTGGTGATGATCTGGGGCAGATTTTGGCCAGACTGACTTCGGAACTCCAGGAAAACACAATGGCTAAACCAGAAATACTCCGGAAAATGGAGATTATGCTGGGGCCCGCACAACCAGTGAGATTGTGCCGTCCAAGTATCCAAGTAAGTGTTAGTCGTTGAGAGTTTTTGTCATCGTAAATTTTGATAAATGAAATGAAAGTTACTGACAGTGTGATAAACTCAACATCAATTATTTAAAAATTTATTGATGTGAGAAAGTTCACTTAGAAAACAAGGAGGAGACAGTGTATGCCAGGCCTTCGTCTTTTGTCTTCTTCAGACTTTTATCTTTTACGGTTTGTCTTTTCCTTTAAAGTGCGAATAACACATTATTAAAGAAGCCACTTAATACGCACTGGTACTGAATCTATCCCGCCTCCATCCAACTAAGGCTTCTACGGGGGAATTGCATATTGTTGCCGGGCTTGTTCGGACTCCACTTGATGCATAAAGGCTGGCTACTAAGTGGAATCGGCGCAACCAATATTCTACCACATTCATAAAAAAGACGAAATCGTAGTGCCGAACCCAAGAGACACGTCGAAGACCTTTGTAGGTGACGGTTGTACAGAAGGTAACGAACCAAATGAAAACTTTTTCCATCTTTTTTTCCCATAAAATTTATTTCACCTTCATTCAAATTCGTTACTCATCAATCAATACGTGTCAGTAGTATTGCGACGGTAAATGTTGGAAAAGGTTCTTTTATGCACCCATCTGTAGGAACGTTGCCGCCAGAAAAGGTTTTGCATTTCTGGTGGGCAAACTACTTTATTAAAACAACATAACATCCCAGGAAAAAACCGTCTCACCTTGCCGTGCCAAGTTTTGCTCTATCAGAAAACTGAATCAGTAAGCATAAGTTGCTAGTAATACCAATAAACACCAGTGATAACTGTAAAGTCACAATGGCGTTGTTGACATACGGTTCCTAAAAGACATAGAAAGTTAGGACTTTTCTAAGCTGCTTTCATTGTTGAAAAATAACACTGACTTTTTGTGTAGGAAATTGTACGGATTTCTTCCACACGTTTTCCAGATGTAAAGGAGTTGGTTACAAAATTCCCTTTCATGTCTTATTATATCATTGAATGGCTAATAAAATCCTCCTTCATCGCTTCTTAACCGACCATTGTTTCCCTTCTCGAGAAAACTTTAGAAAAATTATTAAGAATGGTAAACTTCTCAATGGAGCGCGCGTGGCGCAGTGATTGGAGGAGCCCGGCAACACACACGTGGAATCGTTCCCGCGTCCATAGCTCACCAAGCCTTCCATCTCTCAGGGGTCAGCAAATTGGTAACAGACTTGTCTGGGAGGATAGCAGCACTGTCTCAATACATCGGCAGACTACCGCGAGTCATTGTAAAGCCCAGATGTGCATTTAATCACCTCCAACGATACTTAATGAAATCGAATGCGTGGTGCACACCTTAGAGATTGATCAACGCCGAGTGCTTATCCTTGTCCTTAAATTTTTAAATCAAACCATACTTTCATGGAAAACCAACATTGTACTGTTTATTAGTTTTCAAAAATTTCTATGGGTTAACGAAGACCTTAATAAAATCTTACACGAAATTTGTTCTAATACAGTACACAACAGTAATAGCTTTTACATGCATATTGTGGGAATAGTAAGTTAACCGTTTAAAAAATCTGTCTAAGTCGCTGTATTTGGCTTAGGCTTGCCTGGATTGCCATAGAGGAAGATCGTAAAAACTGCTATCGTTAAGGTAGCACTATTCAATCGGTCATTCTTTTTGTAGTGCTTTCCCACTACTTGTATTTATTAGTTGCATATGCAGAAAAAGAAACTTAAGCGAAAAAAAGACATCTGAAGGAATGGAAACGTTTAGAAGTGAAGAAGTCGGTACCGACGTTAGTAAAGAAATATGCATTTTCATGGGCAACCTGACAACTGGAAAAAAATCGATGGCTATGAAAATAGTGCATTGTTGATAAGCGTATTCATTTTGAAATACAATTGACAAACCAAAAACTGTCATTAAAGTCAAGCTTGTAAACAGTACGAAATTAGACTTTAAAATGATAAGGTGACATGCAGTTGCGAAAAAATAGATGTGAAATAACAGACCACAGTCTCAGCTTAACTAGGTCCTCTGCCGACTTTGGCTCCATAGATCAGTACCTTTGATGGATGATTGCTGACGGCACTGATCGATAGAACTAGCTGAGCGATGGGCGAAACGAAGGGTTCGCATGGTGTGGTGGTGGACGTGTTAGCCCCCAAAGAGGGTAATAGTGCGTTCGTTCTCCACCGCAGACACCTGCGGTCCGGAGTTTTGCAAATATCTCAGCATCATTGTGGTTATTTCACACGTAATACCTTGCCATGAAAAACTATAATAGGCAGTAAATAAAAAAGTTAACATTGAAATAACAAAATCAATGCGCAAGAAACTATTGAACATGAAAAAAGACTTAACGAAAAATGACTGTTTAAATGGCAGATAAAGGAAATTTTGAGGAACGAAAAGAAAGAATATAACGTGACCTTACCGGATAGATCTCATTACATTGTGGATATGTTTCATTGGTGATGAACGTCATTAAGTTTTCGATGGATCTGAAATCCTGGCCACGAAAGTTGATATTCTCAATAGTACATCAATAACTGCCATATCGATTCCATAAGGATGAAAAGAGTGTTTTCATTCGGCTACTTACTGTATGGATAACGGAAACACACTGATAATAGTAAAAGTAATAACAATAACAATAATAACAAACATTATTTAGGCTCCATAGATCAGTACCGTTGACGGCTGATTGGTGGTGGCACTGATCGATAGAAATAGCTGAGAGACAGACGAAACGAAGGACGTGGATGGTGTGGTGGTGAACGCGTTACTCCCTGGAAAGGGAAATAGCGCGTTCGTTCCCCACCGCAGACACCTACGGTCCGGAGTTTTGCAAATATCTCAGCATCTTAACTCTTTTATTTACTGCCTTTTTCTTCTTAATGGCAGGGTATGTTGTGAAATATAACTCGTATGAAGTGCTGAGATATCTGCAAAACTCCGGACCACAGGTGTATGCAGTGGGGAACGAACACGCGTGTGTTTGCAGATATCTCAGCACTTCATACGAGTTATATCTCAGCATCATTGTGGTCATTTTACACGCAATACCCTGCCAGGAAAATTATGCTAGACCGTAAATAAAAAGTTAACATAATTATTATTGCTATTGTTATTATAACTAAAAAGCATAATAAAGAATTTGTGGGTAAAAGGACGAATATGAAAAAATCAGAGGAACAGTGGGCGATAAATGATTCGAAACGAGAAGATTTCTACTACCAAATGCGGAGACGTTTCTAACCGTTGTTAATTAAACCTCATTAAAGCCAGTCATTTTTAGCCAATTCTTTCTCTGTCACCCAGTTAGAACGTATCATGTGAAAGAACATCTTTCTTCATTTCATTATCTATTAATTTATTGACACCGTTTTAAGGACAAAGGCGTTTTTCTGCGCGTTCTCTTTAGCTTCTAAAGTTATCTGGGAGTGGAATCTCTACGCAATTGCGAATGTAATTAAGATTTTTCACATTATCTAAGGAATAACCTGGAAGCACAAACATGGGCGACACATTGGAGGAAACCTTCAAGTCTAGCGGGACGAGTTCTCGTTTATCCAAGGATGTTTGAAATAAGTGCTCCAAGAAAAAAAAGATTAGAAAACGGTTCCCATAAGGATCAGGATTCTAGTTCGATAGTATGGGCTCAAATATACATCGAATTAGTTACGATATGTAAATTTTGATGGGTCTCGTCTGAAACAACAACTTTCGAAATCAGTTGGGAAATGCTACTTAAAATTGATAGGCATAAATATTTTGTGAAAGGTATGAGTGGAGATAGAGAGCATATAGCGTCGTGATTTGATTTACCTTGTG